AACACAAGGCGTGGTGGTCGCTCACAACTTTGAAGGGCCTGCCGTAGAGGTAGGGGCGAAATTTTGACGTAGCCCAGATGATGGCGAGGCACTCCTTTTCTGTTGTGGAATAATTGGCTTCTGCTTTGGATAGCGATCGGCTGGTGTAACTAATAACCCTTTCAAGTCCGTCAGCCCTCTGCGCAAGAACGGCGCCAATACCCTCGCTGCTTGCGTCAGTGTGTATTTCTGTCTCAGCGAATTCGTCGAAATCGGCAAGTAACGGAGGCGTCTGGAAGCGATGTTTAAGCTCCTGAAAAGCGTGTTCCTGAGGCGTTTCCCACTTGAACTCCACGTCGGCCTTGGTAAGGTTGGTGAGTGGATCGGTGATGGGGGCGAAGTTTTTCACGAATCGCCTATAATAGGCGCACAGGCCCAGAAATCGGCGCACCGCCTTCTTGTCAGTGGACGGCGGGAAGTCGGCAATGGTGGCTGTTTTCTGTGGATTGAGACGAACTCCAGAATTGGTACGCACGTGCCCCAGAAACAAGAGCTCCTTGTACGCAAATCTGCACTTTTCTGGCTTCAGTGTGAGTCCGGACGTCTTGATGGCTTGAAGTACAGCTTCAAGGTGCCGAAGATGCTCGTCGAAACTTGAAGAAAACATGACGACGTCGTCCAAGTACACAAGGCAAGTCTGCCACTTCAATCCTGCCAGTACTGTATCCATAACGCGTTGAAAAGTTGCAGGCGCTGAGCAAAGGCCGAAGGGCATCACCTTAAACTCGAAGAGGTTGTCCGGTGTTATAAATGCCGTCTTCTCTCGGTCTCTTTCATGGACTTCGATTTGCCAATAGCCAGTCTTGAGTTCCATTGACGAAAAGTACTCGGCGTTATGGAGCCGATCAGGTGCGTCGTCTACTCGTGGGAGAGGATACATGTCCTTTTTTTTTTGTGATTTCGTTCAGGCGGCGATAATCGACGCAGAAACATAGGGTACCATCCTTTTTCTTCACTAACACCACGAGGGACGCCCACGGACTCTTGGATGGCTGGATGATGTTATCCCGCAGCATTTCATCAACTTGTCTCTTCATGGCCTTATGTTATCGCGTCGAAACCCTGTACGGACTCTGACGGAGTGGTCTGGCATTTTCTTCGGTTATGATGCGATGTTTCGTGATTGGGGTCTGCCGAATTTTTGATGACGATGAAAAGCAATCTTCGTATTGCAGGAGCAGGGCCTTGAGCTGTTCTTGCTTATGGTTCGGAAGTCTGGGATTGACGTCGAAAGCTGTGGAAGGGGCTTGGTTCCACTGAGCAGGTTCCACAGAATCGGCGAGGACGAAAGCACTGGTGGGGTCCACAATTTTTTCGATGTATGCTATCGTTGTTCCTTTGTTCACATGTTTGTACTCATTGCTGAAATTTGTGAGCATAACCGTTGCTTTGCCTCCCCGCAGCTCTGCAATTCCTTTTGCGACGCAAATATTTCGGGTGACCAACAGATGCTGACTGTCTTTAACGACGCCTTCTAAGTCAGGTGATTTAGGAGCGCAGACTGAAATAATGACGCTGGAGCGAGGCGGAATGGTGACTTGTTCTTCCAGCACATTCAAGGCATGGTTTCCTGACGGCGTGCGCGGCGGCAGTGCTTCTTCTGTGGATAACGTTATCGACTTTGTTCTGAGGTTGATGACAGCACCATGGAGGCATAAGAAGTCCATGCCAAGGATGACATCTCTCTAGCAACACTGTAGGACTACAAAGACTGTAGGATAAATACGGCCGTTACTGGTGACTCTCGCTGTACAGATTCCTGCAGGTGTTACGAGATGACCTCCGGCTGTGCGGATTTCAGGGCCTTCCCAAGCTGTCCTAACTTTCTTTAACTTCGCGGCAAACAACCCACTGATGACGGAATTGTCGGCTCCAGTATCGACGAGAGCGGTCACACTGTGGCCGTCGATATGAATGTCAAGGTCGCTAGTTCGCCGTCTCACATTACAGTTAGGGCGTGGCGTCGGGTCACGGCTGTGTCTGCTTGTTCTGCTGCTTCCGTGTTGCGTCGTCAGGCCACCTTCAGTAAGTGAGTTTTCGCCGTCAGAGCTTTGCCTGATTGGCACTGTGTTCAGAAAGCTTCGTCGCGTCGCTGTCGTCGTCGGAGGAGGATCTTCGGTAGTTCGTCGCACAGCAACCGCACCACCGGTTGCTGCCCTTTGTTTCCCCGATACGGGCTAGGAGACCGGCACCGCCTTAGGCCAGAGTACTGCCGATGGTGCGGTGACATGCGGCGGCTGGGCTACGGCGAACGGGAAGGACTTCGTGGTGTCCATTGAGTTCCTGTCAGGTAGTCGGCGATGTCACGTGGCTGTTCTCTAGGCTGCGGATGCGGTGCGTTGACCGCGAAGCCACTCAGTCCCATCTGTCGGTACTGGCAACAGCGGTATGTATGCCCGGCCTTGCCGCAGTGGTAGCAGAACGGGCGGTTGTCAGGTGCACGGGAAACTTCCATTTTCCTCGGCGCACTGTGCTGGCCCGCTGGCGAACGGTAGGACGTTGGTGGGGGTGGTGGCGGCAGTGGCGTCTGGCGACGAAAGTTCGACGGGGCGGTGTTTTGGTGTGGACGGGGAGGAGCGTTGTGGCGCACTGCAGCGGCGTAGCTCATAGTTTCTGGCTCGGGCAGCGGTGTTTGGGGAATTCGAAGCAATTGCCGATCTTCTTCTCGCACAATGTCGGCGATCGAATCCACTTGAGGCTGCGCCGAAGGCAACAGCTTGCACAGCTCTTTCCCGTACGATCGCTCAGATCGTTTCATGCATGTCTTCGGAGTCACTGGCTTGAGCAGCAGCGCATTCTGGAGTCAGGCGACGATTATACTGTCTGGTGTGCATGTTCAGGGTCTTTTCGATAGTGGTCACTTCGGATACAAACTCTTGGACGGTGTTCGGTGGATTCCTCATTAGCCCCGCGAAGAGCTCCTGTTTGACCCCTCGAATGAGGAAACGAACTTTCTTCTCCTCGAGCATGTCTGGGTCAGCGTGATGGAATAGGCGGGTCATCTCTTATGTGAAAACGGTAACATTTTCATTTGGCAGCTGAACCCAAGTCTCTAGTAAAGCAGCGGCCCTCTCTTTGCAAGCGACGCTCGCGAACGTTTGCAGGAATGTGCCGCAGAAAACATCCCACGTTCGGAGTGTGGACTCCCGATTCTCGAGCCAGGTCTTTGCGGTGTCTTCCAAATAGAAGAACACACAACGGAGCTTTTCGTCATTGTCCCAGTGGTTGAGGGCGGCCACTTGGTCGTATGTTTCTAGCCAGGTCTACGGGTTTTCGAACAATGACCCATGGAAAATTGGTGGTTCCCTGGGTTGATACACGACGATCGTGGGCTGGGACGCTGCGGTTGTCATTGTCGCTGCAGTCGCGGTCATGGCCTTGGTCTTCCGCGCCTTGTCTTGTAGAAACCCGTACTACGGTGGTAGCCCTTGCTGTCGGCGGCTTGTTTGCTGCTCCTGGTTGGCGTAAGTGTCTTCTCCGTGACGTGAGCTGGGTTCACGGCTTTACGGGGGGCGTCCGGTACATGAACAAAGCAGCACCTCCACCAGATGTCACGGGGTCGTGACGTGACCGAAGACAGGAGACTTTATGTTGGGATTTAACTGTTTATTTGGGCGAACCTGTGCCCGGTAAACGGAAAGTCCGATTACAGTAGCAGTCTTGCACAGATAGCAGTGAACGGAACGTCGGCCGTCGATCAACTATTGACAAGCGGCGAAGTGCGTCGGTATTTATACTCTTGCCATCAAATGTTCTAGCGTTATCGCTGGCGGTGGCGTAGGTTCCAGAATAATCTGTATAGTTCGCAGAGTGGGCGTGATCTTATCGAAATGATCTAATAAAGTCCGGAAGCTTCTCGAAAACTGCAGGCGCGGTTTGCGCTGAGAATTGTGTAGTGTTTCGGGGCAATAACAAAACTTGAGAAATGAAACGTGACAATATATACAGTCAGACCCCTTTATAAGAGACACTGATATAAGAGACAAGTGGGTATAAGAGACACCAGCGGGTCTACAGTAAAATACGGGTTGATAAGAAAATGCCAACAAGGCACCCTGCTTATAAGAGACATCTTATATAAAAGACAAGAATCGCTGCCCGGAGTATGACTGTAAATTCATTTGGTTTGTTGCACCGCGCTCCCTTTCCTATTATGACAATGTATGGGGCTGACTTCGCACCCCCCGCTAAAGTGACTTCGGCAGTGGCCACCCACATAACCCTTAACCCCCCTCCCCCCCTTTCTCCTGTGCGAGTAGACTACAGTAGACTCCTATTAAACGAAGCTCTCTTAAATGAAATTGCTACTTGAATGGAACAACTACCCGTAATATGTTTGGTTTCGTACTTAAATATTATACCTATGTTTATCTCTCAATAAACGAAACCCTTCTTAAAAAAACACATTTTCCTGGTCCCTTCAGGTTTCATTTAACAGGAGTTGATGCGCGTGCGTATGTCTGTGACAGTTGTTCGTATTCGCGCGCGTGCGCGTGCGTGTGTGTGTGTGGAGTCTACTGTAGTAAGTTGAATGGCTTCCGGGCCTTTGTCATGTAAGTAACCGCAAAGCACCACGGCTGCTGCAGCTAGCCATAGCAACAGTTGGTGCATTTGTTTTGCAGGTGCTTGCGTAGCATGTGTGTGCAAGAGCAGACGATAATCAACCTGACGTGCGTCACAGCTTTGTGTGGTCACGTGACTAAGCCATGGACAATTCTACGTCACAGCTCAACTTGGTGTCCAGAAAGCAATACCGAAAATTGTCCACATAAAAAGAGCGGCCACATGTTATGGGCCATAATTTTAATTTATTTAGCGAGAATAAAGAAATCATGGTGCGAGTATCATGCTTCCTGTACCTATAAGAAACGCTTGCAGCAAATAATGTGCATGCCACAAATATGGTGGCACCACCCCTTTAAAGAATTGATGAACGCTAAAGACGATTGAGCGAGACTCACCAGAAAAACTAGCAAAGGTGCGGGTGAAGTTTGCAAAGCGGTTCTGCTGAAGCCAGTGAGCCGTCTCGTTGGCACTGGCTTCCGACGACAAATGGGAGCTCGGTGGTGACTGATAATTCTGCTGGTGAAACAGGCCAGGGTATTTCATTGTCAGTTCTGCTTTGAACATGTTGTCAAGCAACAAAACTCCGAGTTTTCGGAGATTACATTTTTTTCACGCTTCATGTCATGGCAAAAAATACAGGGCGTATGTACGTTTAGGACGTGCTACAGTTCTTGCAGACTTATGCAAATACAGTGGAACCTCGATCATATGACTTTCAGAAGACCACGCAATACCGTAATATAATCCGGGCATTGTATAACCAAAAAACTGAGATTAGATTATAGGCAGCAACACTCACCCCTGCCCCCCAAAAAATCGGTACGGGCCGCCTGAATAAGCCCACAGCACGACCTCGTGATTCTGCAAGGAAGGTTGACTAAATTATTCTTGCCAGAGGCAGCTAATGGAGCATTACTTAGTTGAAGGAGATGCGAGCAAATTTTTATTGTCAACTTTAAAAAAATGGAGCACAAGGCGCATCTTTCTACCGATAAATAACATCCGAAAAATTGTCAGCGCGTGAAAAGGAAACCGAAACCACATTGTCAACAGCCTCCCATCAGAACAGTCAGACACACTGTTATCGTCATAACATAATAGTGACGGATCACGAGCTAGCGTAGAATGCTTTTGTGCGCGACTGAGCTGTGTGCGTTGTAATTTGTTGGCTTGTGAAGTGCAACGAGTGATGTCCCACTGTTATTATGAACGTTGACATTAAGTGAAAGTAATTTTGCACAGTGAAAATAGCTGAGTCTCGCCTTACGTGTGCGCAAGCCTGTGAATGTGACTGCGACAAAGGCAGGAGATCAGCTGAATGTGGACCAAGAAAAATTTCCACGGTCCGAAAACTTGAAAATATCAGCTTTTTGAGCAGCTGAAGCTACTTTGTGTGGATTGAGCTTCACTAGGTAAAGATCCCGGATACATATGCACGCGATTGCCGCACATGTAGAAGCACATGAACTTCCAGGAGAATAAATTTTTCATTCTAAGAAGACATCCTGTCTCTCTACTTTTCTATTGGCCAACCTAGGGGAACGCAAGTTAATATTTTGCGCTCGTGAATATTTGAATGACAATCGATTCGAGTAAAGGTAGTTTTTTCTATGAAAAATCAAGGTTTTTTCATACATTACTTCTATAGAAATTTCCCTGGGAACAAACCGATTCGATGTAAAATGTGGGTCGTCGACCGGGGGACGTATAATCGAAGTTCCACTGTAGCATTAGTCTGCACTTAAGTATGTTATTAAGTAAAGCGATGCAATAGGATTACTACATCAAGCGCAAAAAGCCCAGAATTTCGAAATAGAACAAAACATTCAAATCTTGCCACATTGCATTAAGCCAAGGTGCCACTCCATTCTATGGTAGTGCTCACTTGTCCAATTTGCTTCTTTACTTTTTTCTTTTATTATGGCACTTACTTTATTGACTCAATTATTTACAGAAATTAAAATTCACAAAACAGCACATGAGCTTTCATGGATGTCTAGGTGACTCTAGATTAATTATGACTACAAAACTTTTCTTAACTGTCAATTAGCTAGGTGTATGAATATTTACATGCATACTAAAGTTTTCTAACAAGGAAGCTCTGTTACATAATGACGTCTCAAAGCACCATTAGTTCTACTGAACACTCCTAATCACAATAATGCCATAAAGTAGACATTTTGCATGTTTTACATTATTTTTTATGAAGCATGCCATTGGAGGCACCATGCATGCTAAACAAACACCCTGACGGTGCTCAGCATAAATAGGCAATCACAATGCATTAAAGACTAAGATTAATTTAGACTTTAAATACTTATCAATATAGTAAAGCTTCCAATAATAATAATAATAATAATAATAATAATAATAATAATAATCTGGGGCTTCACATCCCAAAACCACAATACGATTATGAGAGACGCCATAGTGGAGGGCTCTAGAAAGTTTGACCTCCTGGTGTTCTTTAACATGCACTGACATCGAACAGTACACAGGCCTTTACCATTTGGCCATTACTAAAATGTGGCTGCCACGACAGGAATCAAACCCTGCGAGTTTGAAGTCAGCAGCCAAACATCCTAGCCAATGATGCACAGAGGAGGACAGTAAAGCTAGCAGCATCAAAAGGATGCCTAAAACTTTGGTAGCACTAAGCCACTGGATCAATAATATATGTGAAATACTGTCAACACTCATCTTACCGGCGATGACAGGGAAACATCAGAAACTTCAAGCACGTCACTAGTTGAGCTGCCTGGGGTTCCAGGGTTCCTGCGAAGTGTATGCACAATAAAAAAAAGTGACAGCTTTGTCGCAAAGGCGGAGCAATGATCAGGATAGCAACAAATTGGAAGGTCACACGCAAAATGGCAAGCATATCGAAACGTGCCCCGCGTTTCTCACGCACAAATGGCGCACGAAACGTACTCACAGGTACAGATGAACGAGAATAAGCTTCTCAGTTGTTACCTCACTGTGTCTGAAAAGCACGTTCTTTTCGCAAACGGAGGTTGTGCAACGATTGCAGTAACCTTTGTGCACCCGGTAACTACAACACAATCGTTCCGACGAAACCCAAAGGCTAGCCAAGACATACGATTCTTCCCACTGCAAGATAAGGGCGCGCGATCGAGCGTACACTCCCTTATTCTCTATGCGGGGCAAAGTTTTTTGCGTGAGAGATAAGAGCCGCCGTGCGCTCACTGCACCATCTTGCTGATAATGCTGAAAACACAATAGTCCCCCCCCCCCCCCCCCCCGAGATGCCCACCAAAAGCTATAAATGGTAGATATGAATAACTTGCCATTTGAAGGTTGAAGGAGGTACCCTTCGGTGGGTCAGTGTTTAACGCCTCGCAGACTGGATGCGGAAGTCCCACATTCGATTCCACGCTCCGGAGTCTTTTTCCTGGATTTTTTTTTTTCTTTATTGCGTTTTCATATATATAGATACTGTGAGCGCGACAAGCGAATGACTCTTTATTCTCTTTGATATCATCATCACCTGTACATCTTCTTCATCTGTAAAAATCATCACCAGCGTGATTTAGCTCGAGCCTGGCTGAATAAACCGGTTTCTCACAAGTGGTGGACTGTGCTTTTCGTTCCCTCAAGTCCTCTCGCCCGTTCTCGCTGGAGCTCTGCTCGGGTCGTCGCATACAACCGCCTGCCATGGCGGCCCAAGAAAACCCTGGCCCATCCAACGTCGCCGTCCTACTGCAGCCACCGCCACCCGCTCCGCCCAACAACATTCGCCTGCGTGATCCACCTGTGTTTTCCGGTCTGCGAGGCGATGATGTCGAAGACTGGATCAAGAACTACAACCTCGTCAGCGATTTGAACAGGTGGGACAATCCACAGAAGTTGCACAGCGTCCCATTTTACTTGTCCGATGTTGCCAAAACTTGGTTCTGGAACAACAACCACAACGATGTTCCGAAGTCACAATCACTGCCATTCGATTCCTCTGCCACACCTATGTCGGCAACAATAAGCACCGACTTAACACCTGATCAAACTGAAGATTTGCTCGCCCTGTTAAATAGACACCGTTCTCTATTTGACGTGAACTCGCCCGCCCTCAGCATGACTACTACCGCTACTCACAGCATCCAGACTGACGGCTCTCGTATTGTACATCGGCGTCCATATCGCGTGTCTCAGACAGAACGCAAGATCATCGAGGAAAACGTCTCAGACATGCTACGACGCAACATCATACGTCCTTCCTCGAGTCCCCCCCAACTCGAAAGTTATCATCACGGACTCCCGGAAAGCATGTGCTCATTACTTGGTAGGAGAGATATCCCCCCTAGCCAGCCAAATTCTAAAACGGGCTCTCGCTGATCCAGCCCCGAAACGCATCGTATGGGCTCCTGGCCATCAGGGCTTATGAGGTAAGGAGGCCGCTGACGCGGCCGCCCGAGCGCTTACCCACCGGGCTCCTCACCTTGGCTCTTATGACTCGGAGGCCAATACACCGCTGCTGCGGTTCAAAGAAATTCTTACCTACTATCGCGACACTCACCGCCTTTACCCGGCTCCTGCAAAGGGGCTGAGTAAGGCGGAAGAGCGAACTCTAAGGCGCCTGCAGACAGGTACTCTACTCTGTCCTGCAATCCTAAAACATTTCGATGCGAACACAGATGGGCGCTGCCCACACTGTGGGGAGACGTGTGATATCTTCCACATGGTATGGGCATGTCCGGAAAATCCCCACCTACCCCCTTTCCCTACTCCTTCCCGAGAGGCATGGGAGACTGCCCTGCCTCAACTGCTCATCACTATAGTCTCAACGGGCTCTGGTGAGACGGGCGCGAGTAGGGGCCTCGTCATGCGGTGTCCCGGACTAAGGACGCCGACCATGTAGCGGGGTCATGCTTTGGCCCCGTACCTCTCTCTTTTGTAATAAATGTTTTTTATCATCATCATCCTCGAGTCCCTGGTCATCCCCAGTTGTTCTCGTTCAAAAGAAAGATGGGACAGTGCGTTTCTGCGTCGATTACCGTGCGCTAAACAAAATGAACACGCAAGGATGTTTATCCCCTCCCTTGGATCAACGACGCACTGGATTCATTACAGGGCGCAGAGTATTTTTCTAGCCTCGACCTTAGGTCAGGCTACTGGCAGATACCAATGTCGGAGTCTGATAAAGAGAAGACCGCCTTTTCAACGCCAGATGGTTTGTACGAGCTCATTGTGATGCCTTTTGGACTCTGTAATGCGCCTGCCACCTTCGAACGCATGATAGACGGCGTATTGCGTGGTTTGAAATGGAAAACATGTCTGTGCTATCTCGATGACATAGTAGTGTTTTCATCCACATTCTCGCAACATCTACAACGTCTTGACGAAGTCCTCACATGCCTTGCAAAAGCCGGTCTGCAGCTTAACACCAAGAAATGTACCTTTGCTAGCAAGACAATCAAGGTTCTCGGCCACCTTGTCAGCAAAGAAGGAATTCGGCCCGACCCCGAGAAGCTTGCCGCTGTCCTCAATTTTCCTCGTCCACTACGTCAAAAGGACCTGCGCAGCTTTCTTGGGTTATCTTCTTACTTCCGGCGCTTCATGCGTGGCTTCGCGGAACTTGCGTCTCCGCTCCATCAACTCCTCGCAAGGAACATCGCCTTCATTTGGTCTGAAGACTGCGAAAGCGCTTTCACGGCATTGAAGCAAGCCCTCACGTCGGATCCGGTACTGTGCCACTTCGATTCCACCGCACCCACCATCCTTCACACCGACGCAAGTAGTCATGGTCTTGGTGCGGTACTCTAGCAGTGTGACAAAAACTCACGCGAGCAGCGTCGTTGCTTACGCAAGTCGTGCTCTTACCGCTCCAGAAAAGAACTACACTATCACCGAGCAGGAGTGCCTTGCTGTTGTTTGGGCAGTGTAAAGATTACGACCATATCCTCACGGCCGTCATTTTACCGTCGTGACCGACCATAACGCCCTATGCTGGCTTTCATCGCTGAAAAAATTATCGGGTCGCCTCAGTCGCTGGGCGCTTCGCTTACAGGAGTATGATTTCAATGTTGCCTACAGATCTGGGAAGAAGCATCAAGATGCTGATGCTCTATCCCGCAGTCCTTTGCCCAGTGGAAGCCACTCACCATCGATACTCCAAAACGACAGCACCTCTCTAATCGCAGCGCTAAGTTCATCACCTGCCACCCTATCCGTCCTTGTTTCACAACAACGTGTCGACCCATACTGCCGCACCATTGTTGACCGCTTGACCGGCTCTACTACTCCTCCAAACGCCAGACTCCGTCGACAACTTAAACAATTTAAGCTTGTCGGTGATGCTTTATGTCGCTACATTTACCACATCGATGGCAACAAGTGGGTACCCGTCATCCCACGTTCTCTGCAACGTGAAGTTCTGGAAGCCTTTCATGATGATCCGACCGCCGCTAATCTAGGCTATCACAAGACTTACGACAAAATACGAAGCCGTTGTTTTTGGCCTGGCCTCTCTTCAGCCGTCGCTAAGTGCGTCGTCTCCTGTGTCCATTGCCAACGGCGAAAACAACCGACAACTGCTCCGGCTAGCTTAATGCAACCTCTTCCTTGTCCCTCCTCGCCTTTTGAAGTCGTTGGAATCGACTTGTATGGCCCTCTTCCTATATCATCCAATGGGAATCGCTGGATTGTCACAGCCGTCGACCACCTTACCCGCTACGCAGAAACAGCTTCTATACCATCTGGGACTGCCACTGAGATCGCCGATTTCTTTCTTCGCCACATCTTTTTGCGTCATGGAGCTCCACGCATTCTCCTGAGTGATCGTGGCAAAGTCTTCCTCTCTTCCATTGTCGAGCAAGTTTTGCATGCCTCGAACACTGTTCACAAGACCACTTCTAGCTACCACCCGCAGACCAACGGATTGACTGAACGGTTTCATCGGACCCTATCGGACATGATCGCCATGTACATTGACCCCAACCACACGAACTGGGATGCAATTCTACCCTTCGTGACATTCGCCTATAATACAGCTGCTCAACGCACTACCGGCTTTTCTCCATTTTTTTCTCGTCCATGGTCGCTCGCCGAGTTTCGCTATGGATGCCTCTTTCCTTTCGGCCCCTGCACCCTCGACGACTCCTTTCTCTCAAGAATTCCTATCTCGTCTCGCACACTGCCGTCACCAGGCCCGTGTTAACACCGGCCTCTCTCAAGACACTCGAAAATCTCGCTAACGACTCGTCTCGCCGTGTTGTGAGTTTTTCTCCTGGTGACGAAGTTCTTCTATGGACACCATTACGCGTCCACGGCCTATGCGACAAATTCATCAGTCGCTTCATTGGGCCGTACACGGTGGCCGAACAGACACCTCCTGTCAATTCACCGCGTTTCTCCTTTTAGCGCTAGTCCTGATCATCGTTGCCGAGGAACAGAGATAGTGCACGTATCTCGTTTAAAGCCTTATGCGCGACGCATTTCATAATACTGTCAAGCGACCAGGCGGCCGCTTTCACCGCGCGGGAGAATTAGTGTGAACGCGACAAGCGAAATGCCTCTTTATTCTCTTTGATATCATCATCACCTGTACATCTTATTCGTCTGTAAATATCATCACCAGCGTGATTTAGCTCGAGCCTGGCTGAATAAACCGGTTTCTCACAATATGTATACATAAACATACACGGTGCATGACACCAGCGCCGACAACGACGCTGACGCGAAATTCAGCCGAGAGTGTCTATATGATTGCTATCACAATAAAAGGCAAACAAAATGAACACTGAATGCAGACACCATTTGTGCTTTCTTAGAGTCGTTTGCACCCCTTAGTATGTTCCAAGTCTTTGAATGAAGCCAACAGAAACAATATGCGAATGTGTTGAGACAGTATGAATCAGGCTAACCCTACTAGACTTGTTTTACAGCAGTGCTTTATGCCAGCTGTTTATCTGGTTCAATATGTAAATAAGAAATTATCACCACCAGCCAAGCTAATCACAGCCAAGCCTAATTAAGCCTAGTTGAGCATGTTAATACCTGATTAATTAGCCTAATAAAAGTGATTCAGCCAGATCTTCAATTAGCCCTATGCTTAATTGAAATTATGGTGTGCTCCATTACACCAAGCTCGTAAAGATGAGCCAAGCTAAGTCTTTTTAGCCTTGTTAGTGCTAATTAGCTAATCAAGCCTATATTGGTTTGGGACACAAGCTAATCAAGACCAAGCGTCGGACATGCATATCAGGCCGGTTAAGGTAATTAGGGTGCTTGGTATTGCCCTTGCCAAGACATTCACAATCAAACGAGTCAATACCTAGCAAATACTTGCGACTTACAATGTGATCACATAAACACTTTGTGCATCGGTGTGTGTATGTATGTATGTTTAGTCAAGCCAGGACCAGCCAAGTGCTGACCAGCATTGCTCTGCCCTAACCTTGAGCAACTCAATGGAAGCTGCACAAATATTTTCTCTTTTGACTTTAAGATAAATATTAGGCAACACCAATAAATTATGCTTTGAATATAGTAAAACAGCCATGCTGCTATGAGAAATGGCTTAGCCCAGGAGGATAGAAGTATGTAAAATGGGTGACAACTACACTATGAAATTACTGCATCAGCTCTATTGTACTATCGATTCTCACAGTGTTTACTTCCATCAGGTTAAGCAGATGCAACAGAAAAGAAACTTATGTTCTTGCAACCTCAAGTTCACCAGTGGAACACCCATCACAAAGCCACTGTGCCAGGTAGCTGTACCGTGTGGCTGCAAAATGCTGCGCCTTTATAATCGTGCCGCAAGTTGTTGCGAGTTCACATTCACTTTCCTGCGCATCCACAACCCAAGATGTGAAAAACAAGGCTGCATTTTCGTATGCTCTGCAATGTAACCAGCTGCAGCAAATAATAGCACTGGGCACTCATTGGCTTTGTCTTCTTTCAAAAAACTGAGCACAGTGCAGTGGCTGGTCACACGACACTACCTTTTGATTGAATTATGCCGATTACATGAACTACTGTAAACACTAAACCTAATTCGGTAAAGGTTAGTCACACTGCTCTCGCACTGTCTGCCATGTTACAACGTATGCAGAGCCTTCATTGAGAACTACCTCCTAAACCGGAGCATTTACAAGAAACTATCAGTGATAATGAGGATGTCACAAAACTAAATTTTTGGCCTGGCAATGTTTTAAGACGACCTTCAATCTTGATCTAAATGTATTGTCAAGATAGTAGGCTTGCCATAACTCGCAAATGCTGCCAGAGAACAAGAATACATACAGGGGCATACATACAGGGGCATACAGAAGGTCTCTTCGTAATCACACAGACATCTCAGAAAAATTGGTGGATGCCATTAGCATTCAATTCATAATGGGGCACCGACATATATGCGCCATCAAGGTAAAACAAAAAAACTAAAAAAAACTTTCTTTTCTGTTTTAAGTCGGCCTAATGCCTTGTATGCTCCAATTAAACCGATCTTGCTATAGAAGGAAGAAAAGAAGACCATAAGTTCTCATGCATATTATTGTTATTATTATTTATTCTCTATTATTCTTTATTTATTCTCTATTATTCTATATTAGTCTATTATTTTTATCTTATGTTATCGAAGTTGAAATATCATATCATGTCAACTAACTAGCCTGTTTTGCTGTTTCTTAATTGATTCCTGTTCATTGTGAGTTGCGTTCTGTAATCACTTGTCATTGAAGTTAGCACGTTATTCTTGCTTTTAAATTGTTTCTGTGAGATTACAAGGGTATATTTCTACTTCATTTGTTTCAATTGCATTTTACTGTAGCTTTGTCTCCCTGCGATGTACGTCACAATCATTCTCAGTTCTACATTGTACAAGAGGCCCCCTTGCAGTCTCTGACTATGGGACCTCTTTCTGTATACAGTCGACTCCCGTTAATACGAAGTTCACGGGAACCGCAAAAAACTTCGAATTAAACGAACTTCGAATTAAGCAAAAAGCACTAAAACGGCACTTTTATTGGTTTAAAGGCGCGACAGTTTTGAGGAAAAATAGTCTGTCATCTTCTTCTGCTTGCCGAATCTGGCTGCGGCTAGCAAGTTTTGTAAGGAATACACGTGTCGAAGTGCTTCTTCGGCGTTGTGTTCTCCAACGAAAAACCGCTGCGCAAGAGCAAGACCCGCAGCTACATCGGCAGCTCTCGGTGGTGGCTCATTTCCGATGTCGTCGTCATCATCCTCACTTTCAGGAATGCAGTCATGGGGCCGAACCATCTGCACGATTTCGCTGTCCGTTAGTGGACCGCATGTTTCGACGTTGCTGTCCACAGCGACATACTCGTCAAAACGGACGTCACCGAGAGCGGCGCGAAAGGTACCGTCGTCAAGCTCATTTTTTTGCACTTCCACTGGCGCACAAGGAGAAGCATCCCCCGAGTTTTCCATGAAACCACAGGCCCGGAAACAATTGGCGATGGTTTCTTCTTTCGCGCGGGTCCAAGCTCGCGCTAGCATGTTGATGGCATAAGCAAACTCACCTCGTATTGCGACGAGTTGTCCATGCACAAAAGCATGCGCTCGACGAGATGCTGCCTATACAATACCTTCACATTTTTTATTATGCCCTGGTCCATGGGCTGCAACACGGACGTCGTGTTTGCAGGCAGGTACACAAGACGGATGGCACTCAAGGCAGGTACGTTCATGTGGGCACTAAATTGGTCCACAAGGAACAACACCTTACGGCTTGATTGCGCGAACTTGCGGTCGAGTTTGGTGATCCAGTCCTTAAATATATCGGATGTCATCCACGCCTTTCTGTTCGAGGCATAATCCACAGGAAGCGTCTTCACGCCTTTAAAGCACCTAGGCTTGGCAGCCTTCCCGATTACAAGCAGGCGACACCGTTCTGTGCCAGTCATGTTCGCTGCGACTAGCACTGACACTCTCTCTTTGCTTCTTTTGCCTCCAGAACAGTCATCGTCTTTAAATGTCAGGGTCTTGTCCGGTAGCATCCGATAAAAAAGCGCAGTCTCGTCTGCATTAAAAATGTCTGCCGGCTGGTATTCTTCGAGGTACTCGCGAAGCTTGCCCGCTTTCCATGTCAGGCACGTTTCCTCATCGACTGACGCCTTCTCCCCACACACGCTTTTAAAAATCAAGTCGTGGCAATGTTTGAAACGCGTAAGCCACCCATCCGAAGCAGCGAAGTCGTTGATGCCCAACATTTCAGCAATGATTGATTGATATGTGGGGTTTAATGTCCCAAAACCACCATATGATTATGAGAGACGCCGTAGTGGAAGGCTCCGGAAATTTCGACCACCTGGGGTTCTTTAACGTGCACCCAAATCTGAGCACACGGGCCTACAACATTTCCGCCTCCATCGGAAATGCAGCCGCCGCAGCCGGGATTTGAACCCGCGACCTGCGGGTCAGCAGCCGAGTACCTTAGCCACTAGACCACCGCGGCAACATTTCAGCAAGCGATGACGCTTTTGCCGTGATGACTTCACCACTGAGAGGAAGTTTGTTGTTTCGTGCCTCTCTAATCCAAATCAGCAGTGCTTCCTCCAACTCGGAGTAGGCGCCGGTGCGCATCCGCTTCTGCGATGTCTTGAATTTTTCACTTTCAAACGCATCCAATATTGAGCGCTTATTCTTTATGAAAGTTGACAGCGTGTTAGGCTTAATGCCGTACTTTCTTGCAATGTCTTGTTTGGCGGTGCCTCCCTGGTCAACTTCCTTCAAGACTTCGACTTTCGTCGCTAGGTCTAGCGTTCAGTAAGGGCCATGAGTTGCCATTATCAAACGTACGTCACCACCACAACACTCAAAATTAGAAGTGCGGAAACACGTGTGGAATCAACCCAGCGCGCGGGTGACGCGGTGACACACTCGAGTCTCGACAAAAGTCAACTAAAGAGTCAGTCGATGCCGCCGATGCGATTCGCCAGCGTTAAAAAAATTGCCGCTTCAAGATCTGTGCCGCTGCGGACAGTAGTGATGGCGAAGACACCAGCGCGGTCCGGCAGATGTTTTGGCATATGAAAAGTTCCCCATTTTACTGTAAAATTACGGTCGCGACGAGACTGTCGATTGAAAAAACTTCTAATTAACCAATATTATGGGTTTTAAACTTCGAATTATCGAGCATTTTTTTCTATACGATTGCATGCAAAACTGATGGGACCACTTGCTCATTTCTAATTAACCAAAACTTCCAATTAAGCGACTTCGAATTACCGGGAGTCGACTGTATCATGCACATGTATTCTTCTTCATTTAGCACAATAAAACCTTCTGTTCTGTTGTCCTTACTTTCTACTCTTTGACAACTAATCCTCTAATCATCTTCCACTTATTTCTATCGCAGACTTGTTTACTTTTCCATTGTGGTCACTAAAACCTAAGACTTCATGAAGTCTAGTGCCAGAATACACACCCGGCAGCAGATCTCTACCATGAATTTAAAACATGCCATGCTGTTTGCTTAGCTTCCTCACAGCGTGCATATTTTTTTCCATTTTTACTGAATCTCGCTTTATAACTATGTGTTCTAAGGCATCCCAAACTTCCTTCAAACAGTGATATGCTTTTCCTTCGATAACCATAAAATCCCTATCTACCCTAACGCCCCTTAATGGCATTTGCAATTCAGTCGCCAGTTCAACTCACAGGTCCGGCATGGCATTGTTTGCTGTAGGTGGAGGGAAGCTATCACCACTCCCTTGAGGCGAGTAGTTGCTGGTACTACTGGGCCGCTGCTGGATGGGCTGAGGAGGAGACACAGGCGTCGTGGGGGGCAGTGGTGGAACGCTGGCCACCGGTGGTGGCTTGGTTGGGGGAGCGGTGGACGCAATGGGCAACACACTAGTTGGTGTGGCCGGGGCCGGCCCCTGTGCACCGACTGGAACGGCTGCCGGACCTTGAGCTCCGACCGCCAGTGCTGCAGATGGGCTTGTAACCCCACTATTGCTGTTGCCGCTGGCACTCAGTGGAGGACTGGCCGGTGCAAATGCTGGCTCAGAAATGCACTGAAAAAAAAATCCAGTGAAGCACAACTGTCTTTGATTGACGTCAAAGTAAGCCTCAGTGAACCAAGGCTGGAAAAGCGGGAAAAAATTCCAGAGACATTTCAATCAAGCCAGTAGTTGAACCCCTTTTAAGAGGCACTGATGTAACAAACACCTGGTTATAAAAGACATCACTGGGCCCAGCACTGAAATAGGGATTGAGAAGAATATGCATACACGCTACCCTGCACATAATAGCCACCTCACGTAAGAGACGAGAACTACTCCCATGTGCGTCTTTTATAATAAGGTTCAGATGTATTTTTAAACTGAAAGATTTCAGGACATAAAGCCAAGTTGGGCTTTGCAGCTTTTCTCGCTACCAACAAAAGCAAAAAATGTGCGAATAATGCAAAACTAAAATAACATTGCTATCAACAACAAGTGTCCATTATTAGAGAGTAATGAGGTAATAAAACCTATGGAGTTTTTATTTAGATACCATGGAGCCTCCCTGACACACCGTGAGACATCCAAGCAAATGTGCATTTTCAGAAAACAGTATGTACAATCACAAATCCACAAATGAATTTCAAGTATGGCTGCGGAGCCTAGAAGTGTAAGTCACTCTTACATCGACTTAATCCCATGGCTGACTGATGCGGGCATATGCTCAATTGTTTTGTAGAAATAAAAAAACCTGTGTATCTGCACCGCATTCTCAAGCAACGCCATTTTATATCCAGTGCTATCTAATGACAACTTGGTGACTGTAAGGCCCTATAAACATTAACTACAGAAAATTCTGCTACTTTTCGTTACATATTATGTACATAGTCTACTACGTAATCTATTTAAGATACTCTGCTTCATAATCAATACCACAATAATAAAACACATGACAACGCTTTGCAAAAAATGTTACCTACCTCGGTAAACACGGTGCAATCGTACGAAGGTTGATGTTTTTCCTGGAACAAAGAAATTTTAGAGGGTAACTGTAGGCAGAACATACAAGACCAGTATGACCCCAGAACCATGAGATCATGTGAAAATACTGATTTAAGTAAAGTCCTTGAGTTTTAACACACCCAAGTAACCTGTTTTAATGCATGTGCTGCCGGAGTCACCCCGGCCTTTTTGAATGGCTACAGGATTGGAAGACCTCAAGAGTGTCTATCTCTGATGGGAAGGAAATTGTTACAGTTAATCCACCATATATATAATGAAACAGAATAGGGCAAATTATCAGAAATAATAAAGCAAATAAAAAGATGCCTATTAATAGCAAAGTGCTACATAATTCAATTCAATATAAGATATAACAAAGGTAACTTGTATTGAATGCAATATAGTGGTGATGAGGTTTAACTGTAATGCTTCATTATAAAGTTAAGATGATTCAGTAACCTGACCCGAAGGTCCTATTACAGTGCCATCACCATCTGGTCAAGATTCTGAGATAGTCTTTGCAATTTGGTCCCAAAATATTTTGAGATATGTGGTAATATTGATGTACGATGAAGAATGCAGTGTAATGGGCCGGCTCTAGAAGTGTGCAACATCAGTGCGAATGAAATATTGAAACGTCGGTACAGTGAAGTTTTTATTGTAGACATGCCATTTCGTCAAATCGAGGTCAAGTGAAAGTGATCACAAGATATAACTAATGTGTTCAAGAACTAACTGACTGCCAGTGCATTTATCAGCTGCAATAACTGCCGATAACTACTGCAATAAAAAAGAAGCAAAAATAACATGTAGTAGCGATTACCAGGCATTCTTGCGGCATAGTCACATTCACGGCCAAACAACACAAACCACAAATTACACCAGTTGTGTGTTAATGGACTCTGTCCACAAGCTTTCTGATCTCATACCTACCAAATCTTAAACAAGTAAGCACTTTAGTTTTCTCAAAACCCAATAAGTAACCCACACTGACAATGGTTTCTCTGCCACATGCGTTACATGCAGTTGCCAACTTCACACCCTCCTCACTGAGTCAATTGGTCCTAATATAGATCCCATGGAGCCTTCCTGACACACTTGCAAGACATACAGGTAAGTGTACATAGATGTCGATCTCTAATACAGTCAAATATTGTTATAGGAAACCTCAGTATAACAATTTTCTCCTATTAACGACATTTAAGAGCAAAGCCCCTAAAGCCGTGGGTATGTCCCTCCTAGTACGCACTTGACCACCTAGCCCTATCGCCATCACCATCACCTGGTATTTGTGTTTTGTGACAGGCTTCGCCCCATTGCCTTTGTTTTCATTGGGCAGCTTGACCTGTGCACTGGTTTCTAGCAGTTTTACTGGTGGTTGAACGTTCAAGATGAGCTCTGGAAGAAGCTTGAAAGAAATGCTACGACAGTGAAAAATGCGACGCGAGTGACATATGGGATGAAGTCGCCCGTGATTACCCGTGCATGCTTCACTAACGGCCAAACACTATGCACAGCACGATGACAAAGTATGCACGTGAACTTGGCTGACGACCGATAAGATCCATACCATTTATCATGACAAGAAAATGGTGATGAGAGCAAACATGATGGTGAAACAGTGTGTGTGAACCAACAAGAAGAATTGGTATTGAACGCTGATTCTTCGCAGTGCGTAAGAAAAAATTCGGTGGATCTCACGTACCTTGGGTATCGACATTATGCGAAGCATGTGGGGGGAAGGTGACCGTGTCGTAATTTTTTTATTGTGTGACACGTCGTGATGACGCTAAATATATGTATAAATGTTGCACGCACAGACATATGTTGAAGAGTTGCAGAAATTTATATAACCAGTTGTTTGCCCTTGCACAATGATGCCAACAGGAACATGAATATTGTTTAAGCTGATATGAAACATTGGTACCAGCGAGGGTGGTAGCCCTTGACACTGCGACATAAATCAACTTCAGGGGATGGCAACTAACCACAATCGACATTAACCCTACGTGACAGCTGTATCTTAGGAGTACATATGTAGTGCTTATAAAATTGCATAGCCAGCACTGCAACCACACTTGACGTTTCATGAAGATTAGGGTCTATTTGAAAGGTAGCTCTGAGGCCTGGCATGGCTTTGTGGTAGAATACTTGACTGCTACGCAGAATTCTTGGGTTCGATTCCCGAAGGGACCCCGACATTTATTCTTAGCATTCGTCGAGTCAACTGTTGTCAAAGTCAGGTTTTCCTTAACACTCACGGTTCAAATTGCCCATGTGTGTTTTTGTCGTTCCTCGGTAGATACTAAATGTCCATTACCAGTGGCACATACCCACCTGCGGGTATGTGCCACTGTCTGGCAGGAGGGAGAGAGAGAAATATTTAGTTATCCAAAAAATGTTTGGCGATGTTTGCAACGGGATTGCGACTATTCATGTCTTGACCAACGTGTCATATTCGTCAAACTATCTGACCCTCCCATACTAATTTTGGTTCATACCAAAGTTAGTCAAGTTGGGCAGACAGACAGCCAGATACGTAGATAGATGCCAAAAGTGCTTGCAGTACATAAAGAAATGCTTCGCATTTAAAAAATGCGTACGCTTAAGAGTTAGTCTTTCAGCAGTCTAAGGTGCCCAAATCAGGATAGACGGTGCTCTTCTTCAAATAAACGCACACTGGTTCCACAATATTACATGTTTGTTTTTTCACGCTCATTTGCGCATAACGCGGTCATGAATGTATACACACTACAAGTAAGTGAGTCGCATGTTTGCCTTTACAATTTTTGTGCAAATTTTTAAAACTTTCCCTACAACGACTTTTCTAAATAATGAATAATTTTTAGCAGTCTCTCAAGATTCATTGTGCCGAGATTTCACAGTAGATCACAGATTGTTAATGATCTATCTCTAATAGATCACTAGCGACCTGCATTTATTGACCCAATTTCCCACTCCTTACTTTCCATTTTTCCAATTTTCTCGCAGTCAGGACATTATTCCGTGTTTACAATAACACATGTGCAGTGAACGAATCCAGCTGCACAAAGCACTTTTATCCAATGCCTCCTAAATAAATAAAAATACTAAATAACGCATGTGCGCTGGCGACCAATAGAAATCTACCACATTCAGCCTACAGTTCTTCAAAACTGACAGGAGGCTCTTTCTGTGCTCACCTGCTCAGCCAGAGGCCTCTTGATCATTTTTTCACGGTCGGTCTTGTGTTTTCTGTCTGCACCTTTTGGCTGAAAACGAACACATTGTGAAGGACTACACTCATCGTTAACAATAAAGCAGAATTAATATCATGCCCTTAAAAAAGTGACACAGGTACACGGTGGTAGTGAATGCAGAACAGGTGGCAAAACATGGCCACATTATTATCCGCACTCCGCTCATAAGTTCTACTATTTTTTATGTTACTATATGTTATTATTTGGGCTCTTTTGCTACATTTCCATTTGTATTTACCTGATGGTCTTATTAGTTGAAGTTCTCACAACATGTAATGCAGAGTCTCCTGATATCATCTATTATTTCATTTGCTGTCAAGTGTTTCTGCTTATCCCAGACCTATTTCCTGCTAGGGAGCTGCTATTCATTGATGTTTTCTTTTTCTGATTTGTACAGGAGGTCCCCTTGCAACCCAAAACTTTGGGACCTCCTTCTGTATATTACGTTGCTATGATGAGGTAATGCCATCTCTAGGTACTCTAAACATTCCTAATGATGCTCCAGCTTTCACATCATTTTAAGCAACTGGTGATATCCCACTTTTAATTTTTCAGTATCAAGAACGTTGTGAACCTACAGTGATGCACCTAGCTTTTGGCCCCCATTGTAAATTTTTGAAGGATGCCACTGTACAGCTAAGCCACTTGAACCAGCAATGCTTTATGGCAATATTTAGAGACCTTTCATGTTTGATTTTTTTTTTCCCTCGCTATTTGAAGTTTGTATTCCAGGTTATAGAGCAGCGCGAAACACGTAAGAATACGATACATACCACGCTGCTAGAATGCTTTCAATGAGACCAGGATTGGAACTCAAATCAACAGGCACGTTCTTACCTTGAACACTTTGACTTGGCAGGAAGCTGAGTGTAACTTCTGAGGCGGCCCAGGCTCTCCATGGGAATATGTTTCAATGACAATGCGGAAGGGTACACCTTTCTCACCCCCATGTTTCTTGGGAGTGAACTCTGTGCTGATGCAGTTGAGCTGGAACGAAAGTACAACCACACAAGATGAAACAGGCTGATGTAGTCAAATATCGCTGTTACGATTCCATAATACTACAGCACACTCCTATTAAACAAAACTTGAAGAAACCAGGAACATTTGTTTCGTTTAACAGGAGATTCGTTTATTGAGAGATCAACAAGGGTCGTAGAATTTGAAGTACAATACCAATCATATCAGGGGCAGCTGTTCCACTTAAGTAGCAATTTCATCTGAGAGAGTTTCGTTTAATGCGAATCCGATGTACATGTTTTTTTTTTTTAATTTATGAAGAACGTACAAAACAATAGTTGTACAGTGTATTAATATACAGTTACTGCGATAGGTCTTTTCATCTGAAACTAGGTAATACAACCTCAGATATCAGCTTTTACTGGTATTTCTGAATATAGTAGCTTCGTACCCAGGTTACTAACTTGAAAGTGACATTGCAAAGACCCATAAACAGTGCACTATATGCTGGCAGCCACACCGATTCTGCAGCAGCGTGAGCGGAGATTCAGCACAAGGAGCTAGGGCAGAAGGCCCCTTTTGCATCAATGATCTATTTCGTGTTGCGATAAAAATGTACTGGCTGTCATTGATGTAACGTAGCAAGATGCTTGCCATGTGAAGATCTGTTATTGATTTTAACACCAGGTACGCATATTTTCATACATTTTAGAGCTTGCCTTGTAGGATACAACTTATGAATTACATGTCTTTATATTCAGTTCCAGTGAAAACTGTATCAATTAGCTTTCACTATGCAGTAGACTCTCGTTAAACAGGATCTGAAATGAGCAGGAAAATGATTTCCATTTAACAGAAGTTACATTTACTGAGAGATAAACAGTGGTGCAGAACTCAGGCATAAAGTCAATTGTACTGGAAGTAGTTTCATTTAAGCAGCAGCTTCATTTAACTCATTTCCGTTTTATGAGAGCTTACTGTAATAGGCTGCATTGAGTTAAAGGGCCCGTGGCACCCAGTTTTTTATCATACCCTACGTACAGTGGGTTAATCCTTGTACATTTTCAAATCAGCTGGCAAAATTTTAGCACATTTGATTGAGCACTAAATTTACAATTGAATATTTGTATGAATGTGTACGCAGCCTGAAAGTCTGGCAGCATTAGCACACTTCGTGAGCCTAGATGTCACAAGAAGAATGGCTATTTGGGCTAGTTGGTTCAATTTCCATGTTAATAAGGATTGCAGCACAAGCACGAAAGTGCTCAAAGCAAAAGCACACGGAAGGCAAGTAACGCTCGTGTTATCCCTCTTTGTCCTTCCACTCCTCGCCTTCCATATACTTTTCTTTCGAGCACTTTTGTGCTTGTGCTGCAACCCTTATTACATAGCTGTCACGAACAGCTTGCTGTCTGAGTGCTAGCATTTAGGTGAAAATAAAGATATCATAGCTTATTTGTGTGTAAAATAAAGATATCATAGCTTTGTTTAGTTTGGAAATGAAACTGAATGATTTGCAACAGCTGAAACCTTGGTAGAAGACAACGGCTTTGTTCTATGCAGGGTATGACAGTCACAGATTCCATGACAAAATGGCAGTGGCTGGCAGTGGACGGTGTTTAGAGCCGCTGACTTCTAAGGTTTGTTATGCACTAAAATATTCTTTTACAATCTGCATTTAATAACGTACAGGATCAATAGACCATCTACTTTCTATTTTCCTTTGAAAATGACAAATTGTTGGACCATCCAGTCATAGTCCCTTTAAAGATGCAACATTACACAACACTGTTGGATAAGAGTGAGATATTAGAAACTTTTATGGCCCTTGAGTGCAGGTGCTAATGAGTCACATCATAAGGAGACTAATGTATGTAGACTTGCATTCCGAAAAATAGATTTGCGATTCTACATAAATAAAAGCAATGATAAGCTGCAAGATGGCTAACGAAAAATGTTGCTGGAAATCGGGGGAATAGTACCACGTACTACGAAAGAAAAAAGAAGCACGAGTACAAGACATGTTTACATGCAGAAAAAGAAAACTGGTCGCATATCTGCGTACTTCTCTGCAAATGTCGTCGAAAGACTATAGTCTTCTGCTGGCCGTAATACAGGAGTCCAGGGGATTGTCTTTATTTTATTTTATCAAGCAGCCATTTATGTTTTACCTTGCCTCAGAAAGTGCCTCCTCTATAGTGAATTGGTCGCACCTCACTGACATTAATAAAAGAGAGGAGGCACTGCGTGGGATATGGACGCCATCTGGCAGTGATGTCGCCAATATGAGCTTGAGCAGAACCTAGAGCCACTGCCAGGTGGCGACACCATTATCTTCGGCAGAGGGCTTTTTTTTTTTTCTTGCATACCTGTTGCATTTTTAGCGCAGCCCAAGAAAGACTAGGGATCTTTAGAATTATGCATCTATGTATTTTCTAGTAATATGCTTCAGATATGCTCAGATAGTAATGCCTCAGATATGCATATTATTTGCTTTTTGATTAACAATATTCACAAGTATGAACACAACCACCAGATAAAGATGGGTGGGCATTCAGCAAGTGCTTAAACTTTGGCTGGGAGGACTGAATTTTGTAATGGGCAGAGAGAGAAAGAAAGGCAGACCAAAGTTTCTGCATTCAAGTATCCCAAAACAAATCATCTTCAAAACACTGAACTAGCACTTATGCCATAGGTATGGAGGTACACTTACCCTTATAAAGACTCCAGTCTCTTTGGTCGGATCCCAAAGGAATTCACAGAAGTGGACCTTGTTTGGTGTGTTGACCACTTCATACACTCCATACGACAAGGGCACATCTGTAGGAGGTATACAAAGGCAATAATTCTTAAAATTCTGAGCCTTAATTAGTAAGCTTCGCTTGAGTGAAATTGGTCGATGTTAGTGTAAATTAAATAATGTACTCCACAAGAGGCAGCAAAGGCTATACAACTTATAGACATCCTGATCACTGCTCAATGAGTAAACCATTGTAAAAGCAGAATTGTACATGTATTTACCTGATGGTCTTATTAGTTGAAGTTCTCAAAACATGTAATGCAGAGTCTCCTGATATCATCTATTGTTTCATTTGCTGGCAAGTGTTTCTGCTTATCCCAGACCTATTTCCTGCTAGGGAGCTGCTATTCATTGATGTTTTCTTTGGGCTAGTTGGTTCGATTCCATGTTAATAAGGGTTGCAGCACAAGCACGAAAGTGCTCAAACAAAAGCACACGGAAGGCAAGTAACGCAGATGATTGAGCTGTATTAGTAAATAAAGGACCTCACTCAAATAATGTCGCTGTCTCAATAATTCATTTCAAGCTATTCAGCTACGTATACGACAGTAGATGCTCAGTAGAAATGGCACCCTAGTACGAATCTGTGGGCTCATTGATTTTGCTGTGGCAGCTGGATTCCAAAGGTAGCCCAATGTAAAAACTCTATAATGTTACATTTAGTGCATAATTAAGAATCTTGGCACCCTAAAGCTTTTTAAAAAGACCCGAACACGGCTCGTCAATTGTTAAAAATTTACGTCCTTCAAGCTGTTGAGGAACATGAATAAAAGGACAGCAGAAAATTGGTCAATACCAAATGAAGCATGCATACATCAGTCCAGGAGGTTACCCTGAAGCCTCAACGTCCTAAGTGATGAGAGCCAGCAGACAACAGTTTCAGGAGTCAATTATAGTGTCATGAGCCGGCACATGCAAGAACTGTCCTGGCTACACCAAGAAAATTCCCCGCTCTGGCACAAGAGTGAATGGCGACACACTAACCAACACACAATTAAGCTTATGCTGTGTGGTTCCAGTTACCGTCGCCTGATCCCAGCTACTTTGTTTCACTTTGTTTTCATGCCCTGCTATAACCATTTGGCACCAAACACAATCATTTCTGAGGAGGCAAGGCTCGAATAGACGCCTATGTCATAGAAGTGTTGCGACTGCTATGTCATTTACCCCTTAATCTTCACTAAGAACTAAGCTGGTCTACCTTGTGCTAGACAGCAATAGTATTGAATTTTAGCATAATCTGCTCATGTACACATAGCCAACAATGAGGAGAACATTCAGCCAAGTGCACCTTTACCAGCTTCAAGTATCCTTTCGCCTGGTCTCTGCCGCATCCACTGAGTAATCTGTTCTTTTTCCATGTACTGCAGTCGACGTTCTTGAAAACCAATGCGAATGGTGCTCTACATAAGAGAGAAAAAAAACACACATAATAATGTGACAGGATTTCTGGCAAACTTAACGTGAAGGGGTAAGCTGTTTGTCTCGTCTACACTCACCTTTAGCATTTTCCCCCGCATTTCAGTGAGATCACCAAGTTTCTTGAGCTTGATCTCGTATGATTGGCCTGTTTAAAAACGCAAAGCAACAAACATCGTCCTTCAAAACTAATCAGATTCACAGAATCACTGAAGAACTTTAGGCTGTTGTTCATCAATTTATAAGCAGGTTGCTTGAGTATGAACCTTTCTTAAATTCAGAAAAAAAGACCAGGTGGATATACATAATATTTAACTGTCCTAAGATTCAGGAATTAAAAAAAACCCTGTGTGGAAGATGATTGCAGCATTCAAACCTTTAGGCTAGTTAAAGGAACCCTGAAACGAGTCTGAAGCTTTGTCAGCATGTAGGCTAGACCTTCATCAAACCATTCGCACGAAAAGTCAAGCGACATAATGTACCAAGGCCGCTATGGACAATTATGTCATATCTTCCTTCACACCTCTGCTTTGCCTCCTCAACTCAAGAGGCACATTAGAAATATCAGAGCTCTCATGAGCCCACTCGACAATTCGAGCTTTTACCAGTCTAGACCTCCGAGATTGTACGCCAACAGGTTGCGCACAATCTCGGAGGCTATCACACAGCGCACCCGGCAGCACGCATGTCATCTGGCAACAGAGACGAAGATCACGAAGTGGTTGATCTCTGTTCCGACAGGTACCCCAACCGTACCAGCTGATATTACTTCCGTGTATTTCCCAACCAATTAGATCATCAGCCTTGGTGATGTCGCGTTTCCAGAGCATGTTGCTCTGTGAATGGGCGGTTAAAAACATGTTTGCCCGAGTCATTGCAATCTGCAGTGGTTTGCAGCTTTAAGGGGGGACGTGGCAAGTAAAACTAATTTTTTTATTAATGTACTGTTTGTGATGAAATTTGGTGTGTGTATGTGGATGATTGTGAGGATTCCAAATATGAAAACCGTTTTCAAATACCTTTTGTACTTTTTGAGTTACAAGCATAATTATACTAATTAATGCTCTTCACACTTAAAGAGATAATTATTGCTAAATGAAATTATTTTTTCATATTATTATGTTCCCAAAGCATCAACTTGTGCAAAGAAGCTATTAGTTGATTTTTCTAGTTCTTGTAACCATAAATAAAATTTCCAAAACATGGATGTTGTTTTGCGCACACATCGCAGTAATTATAAAATGTGTTCTAAAAATTTTAAATGATGAGTAAGAAGAGAGATAAAGCTTTATTGCACTGCTAAAGGCCTCCTGAGCCTAGTGCAAAAAACGGAACGACTCTATCAGTCTTTGTTAGAAAATGACAGATGTTCTAGCGAAGGCACATAGGCGAAAATCTAGAGTTGAGAAAACTGACTTTGAAAGTTCACTCTTGTTTGGAAGTTCACAACATGCCTAAAACACTCAGAATCCTCCTGGGCAGTAATCCTGAGATGCCGTGGCCTTGGCCTCTGTAGAGCGCAACCCAGTTTTGCGCTTCTTTGTCGTGGAACAATGCGCCTTTTGAGCCCTCTTTACACTTTTGGCATCCTTTTCGGCTGCTCGCCGCAAAGAGCAGTCTCCTGGATTGAAGCCCAGTTGAGCAGTGATCTCTTGCAGCGCACTCTTGCAGCCACCATTGAAACGGCAGACTGCATCTGCAACTGCACTTTCCACACTTCGAAGGGATGCGAACTGGCTCTTGGACTGGAGTGACCAAATGAGGCTGTTCATACTCTCCACAGCGTTCTGGGTTTTTCCCTGCGCACACCTTTCAAGGAGCTCTTTGTTCGAGAGGCGCTTGTAGATTGGCAGCAGTGCCACTTGCACGTGAGAGGGCAGTTTATGTTTGTGAGGCGGCAGCGGCTCTCCCTTGGCCAATGCCTGATTGTGCGGGCACCAGGAGTCAGTCCCACTTGGGCACAGGTCGTGGTGTGGATCCTGGTCTGTGGATGTTACATGGTAATAAGTGGCCATGATGGCCCTCTCCATGCCAGGAACATCATTGGGGTGGCTCTTAATGGCCCAGCCATAATAATTCGTCAACTTCTTTATCAGGCCCTGCGTCAGCCGGCCTTTGCCACCCATGCTCAGTCCTCGGCCTTTGGATTTGTGCTCATCAAGAAGGTTGCGCAAGGAAGTGCCCATTCTTTTTTTCACATGGTTCACACACTCCTGTTTCTTAATCACCATGTAGCCATACACCTTGTCTTGCGTGAGGGCAAGGTACGTACGGCTGTCACCGTCGCAGAGCACATTGATGTATCGAAGCTTGTACTTGGTAAACGATCTTTCAAACATGATCCTAGCTGCTTCTACTTCCATTTGGCCTGCATTAGCATCGGTGTTCTTTTGGCACTGTGGCTTGTGTTTCTCAAGCCACTCCTCATAGTTGTCGTCACCTGGCTTGGGGCCAACAGCACAGCCCTTGGCAGTAGTTGGACAGGACACAGTGGTCCAAGACCAAGCCTGTGTACAGCTCGATTACACAGCCCACGCCAATATGACTTCTGTGCCCCCTCGTCATCCACGTGCCGTCGTAAATGACGTCAATGCTGCCTGGCACTCCTCCTAGGTCCTTGTAAATGTCATGCACCTTCTGTGCACTTTCTGCTTCAATGCGGGTGGCAGCTGATGTGGTGGCAGGGTGGCTGTACTTCCTTTGCAGTCTCTGGTAGGACTTGTGGTGCAGTGCTCGATGCGAAATGTCCATCGCAGAAAAAATGTCATTTATGGCAGATGTTTTCTGCCAACTGACTGCACAGCCCTCAAAGCACGCACGTTACCTCAAAGGGGTTCGTTTTTTGTTGCCCGGAGCACCTCGGGGACGACCACGCACTGTCACTATGCCACAATTGTCACAAAAAAGTCCCATCCTCGCCGCGAGTCCAAGGCAGTGCGTAGTCTCGAGGCGTATCGACCCTTCGTCGCACTTGTTGCACTTTACTGACGAAAGCAGACCGTTCAGCATCTTCTTATTTACAATGAAGAATGTGGAGTCCTTACCGCCGTCATTTTCGTCGCAGCCTTCGTTCAGAAGCTCGAGCTTCCGCTTTGAAGCGGACTTCGATGCTACGGCATCCAAAACATCCCGCCTTGTCTGCGCCCGCTGCGCGATTTTCTTCACTGCTCGGAATCTGGGCCGAAACTCGCGATAGAATGTTCGACGCGCGCACGCCCGGAGTTGCAACGGCTGCCGACGCGGTGCCACCGCAATCGGGTTCGCGAGAGCGTCCATCACGGTCGACGGCATCCGGCGGTCTGACATACGACGATGTGGCACCTTCCACACTCTCGGCCTCACAACAATCAGCGAAGGGTCTGAGTAGAGGCTCCGTGACGCTTGAAGAGCATGCTCCGTCCGGAACTGCGACTGGGGCGGCAGCCGCAGTCGTCTGCCCTTTGTTCCAAGCTTTCCGACGCTTGCCGTACTTGTGGACGCTCCGGAACTTTTTTTGCGACAACATAGCACCGCAGTATGAGCAAGCACTCAGAAGAGACCACCGATGTAAACAAAGCTTGGTAAAAAAAAGCGGCGGCCGCAGATGCGCTCGCGCTTCCAAGGTTGCCAAGGTGCGCGGCGCAGCTTTGACCAGTAAGAGGTCGCGCCTGCTACCACGTGACCCGCGCAGCCAATTGCCGTTCTTCGTTTTTGTTTTTTTACTTGCTCCTCGCGCTTTTATTTTCACTCGGCGAAATACGAGACCGCGACCATCGGGAAGCCGGCTTTCTCCTCTTTCCAAAGCTACCAAAATGGCGGCCCACAGTCAACAACTTAGCGCGTTTGTGCGGCGTGAACAACACCGTTTCAGGGGCTTTTTTTTCGCACTTTTCGGCGACTAGCCTCGGCAAAAACACTATTTGCGGGATTTGTAGCGCACGTTTCGCTGTAATATTTTAGAACAAGGAAGTTGAAGGTCTGAAGATTACGAAAAAAAATAAATCAGAAAATCGCATATTTTGACCAAAATCGGCACTTTACTTGCCGCGCCCCCCCTTAAGGCGTTGCAATAAATTACATAGTTTATGCAGAGCTCAAATTGGATTGTAAATGACCCTTAAGGCTTGGTTTACTGGCCAAATGTGTTTGTACAAAATCATCAAAACCATTTCAGGGCCCCTTTAATGCCACCAGTTACTTTTGCTTTGTTTTTTTAAATAAACAGTAGAACCTTATAAATTAATTATTGCTAACTTTTGTGGAAGTTACAGTGGTCAATTGAAATAAAATCAAGAATGTAATGTTTGATTTGATTGATTGATTTGTGGGGTTTAACGTCCCAAAACCACCATTTGATTATGAGAGACGCCGTAGTGTAGGGCTCCTTAAATTTTGACCACCTGGGGTTCTTTAACGTGCACCCAAATCTGAGCACACGGGCCTATAACATTTCCGCCTCCATCGGAAATGCAGCCGCCGCAGCCGGGATTTGAACCCGCGACTTGCGGGTCAGCAGCCGAGTACCTTAGCCACTAGACCACCGCGGCGGGGCAAGAATGTAATGTTATCCTTTGAACTTAAAAACATTGCTCTTGATGTTGTCAGAGCTGTTGTCTGTGCCCTTCTTTCTTGCCCTGTTATAAATTCCAAGTACGATGTCGCACAATAATTAGGATAAGGACACAGCCTCGACAAATAAACACTAATGATAAGATAACAATCATAGCACCTGCAAGGACAACTAGCCTGAACAAAAAAAATCACACAAGTCCAGCTTTCAGCCATTATTTTGCTGTTGCAGTACAAGGACAGCCCCACCCACCTTGATTGAGGTATGTCATGGTTTCCTCGTGTAGCTTGGTGGCAATGGACGTCGCTGCTCCCAGAAAGTACTGAAAGCCACCCGTTGAAATATTGCCAGCCAGCTCCCCTCCGGGTCCGAGGCGTGGCAGCGGCAGAGAGAGCGGACCCGTAGGCTGGTACACGGCCATGCGCAGGTCAGGAGCCGACGAACTGTGCCGACACCGGCTGCGATCAAAAGCAGCACAATATGAGTTCAGAGTCTTGCTCTCGACGTCGGTGCGTTAGCAAAATGCAAACGGGCCAAAAAGCGTCGAATTCCGTGGGCCTATATCGTACCACGGAACACATACTACTGACCCATCCGCTCTGTGTCATCACGCCTGGCACCGCCACGACTGACCATGTGGGAGGGCCCAACGTTGTTTCATTATGAAAGATTGTGGGGAACTGACATGTCATTGTATTCCATATTCCACGTTACACTTTAGGCCCACAGATCAGAAAAGAAAGTGTCCTGAATACGTGCCATCGGGAACACAGGCAGCATTTTTAATCATACGAAATTACAATTGTTCGAAGACGCTTTAGTCGAGACAATGAGCTCAAGGCAAGCACAAGGACAAATTTTCACTGTAATGTCATGCCTGGTGTCTCTTTGTATTGTGTACAATTTATGCATAGAACAAAACAACCAATGCAAAATGTCCCAAATCGGTATCCTCAGATTCCCTTCCTAAAAATTCATGACACGAACCCTATTTTTCGACAATAAAACATTTATAGTGAGCCACATAGAGCATGGAAGAATTCTCAATTTCCTGAAGTTCTACTGTTCAATATAACAACAACAAAAAATAATTTCATACAGTATGTATTGCCTAAGCTCGTGTGAATATTCGAGCACTCTGAATAATCAAAGAAATATTCGATTATAATTTAAATTACTATAAATTTTGAATCATTCAAAACGAACAAATGATTGTAAATTAGTCGTCATGTAACTCCCTGCAAAGCTGGTTTCACTGCATTGAAGGAATGCTGTACCGTGAATACATCTATCCAAAAGAAATCTGCCCTGCCGCAAAGCGCCACTTCACCAATCCATAACTTTTTTAAGTTTAAGAGCTTGTTATACCAACTCAGTATCGTAAACTTTAAAGCATTACATACTTAACAGGTTATCACTGGCATTGTTGCATTATCGCAGACTGCCTAAAAGATGAAGACTAAGGAGATGAAGAACCGCACTAACTCCCCCAAGCAAGTACCTTTGTAAGTTATCACTTACATTCTAACGAAAAGTCAAACCCTGCTACTATTCAAAGCTGTTTGCAATTCTTCTGAACCAAGAAGAATTATTTGCACGTGCCTTGATTCTATTTTAGAAAGATATTGTGTAAATTATCTGGTTCATGACAGATATATATATTTTTTTGTAATATGTGATATGTACTATATTTGAATTCGATTTGAAATTCCTTCAACAAATCATTGATCTTTTAAATTCACATCAAACCTATAGTTTACTATTTGCACAAGCCTAGTATTGCCCCAAACACTTTTTGCATACAAGAGCATTCTAAACTACCTTTTGCTTGTCCGAACAAAAGCCATAGTATTTTCACAGGATAATCAGGGCACAATGATTAGAAACCTTTTGATGGATTAGTGGACTGGACAACGTTGTGTTCCGAGACCAAAACAAAACTTAAAACTTACAATGACATGATAGGTGCAGCTAGCAGTCGACGACTCAAACCCAAATGCTGTGTGCTGTTTGTACAAACATCTATGGCACAGCAGAGCAGTTAATTGCAAATGCATAAATTAAAAGATTCTCTGTATCATTCAACACCTCATGTGCGATCTGATCAGATATGCATGTCTCATCAGAGAAGTGTCAATGACATTATCAGGCTTCTCACAATAGTAGGTGCAACATGGATAAGAACAACAAAAATATGGCTACTTTCAGAACTTTGTCAAACACATCCCTCACCAAATGCCAATGGCTGTGCAACACGCCCACTATTGCAGTCACACCCTAGTTATAACAAGCAGGCTTTAAGCTTGAACTAGTTGAATAATTTAGGTGACTCAACACAACACAAACTTGCCTACAATGTTCTCTAATAGCTTTTAAGGTTAATTCGTTTAAATAAGATATTTTGCAAATAAGACAGCACATCACAGGCAAATCTGAGGATTAATCGTGAATGGATTGTAACGCCTGGTCACCACACCGGGTGCCAAAGCGACGGCATCAAAAGAAAAACTGAATAACACTGTGTAGTCTGAGCATATGATCGCAAGCATGTGGATAAGTGTTACTTGTGGTGATGACATGTGCAGCGAATACATTAATCTGTATTGTCCTACTCACACTCCATACATAAATCTTCTCCATCTTCCATTCCATCTTACGAGTATATTGTGCTCATTCTCGACTGTGTTTCCTCTTATAAATGTTGGGTACAAGTTGGGTGAAAAGGGGTTGTACGACTTCATGAGGAATTTTTCAACCGACTCATCATTTCATGCTATTGCCGCAATCACTTGCCATCCTTATCGCTTTGCTTGAGACGCACGTGGCTAGCGTGTATCTGCGCTCCATCATGAAGGCGTGATCTGTGAACTTATCTTCGTGCCGTGTTTTATCGGAAAACGCCCCTCGCCAATAAGCCGAGGGCAGCCGTGGGCACCGGTGTAGTAGTTCGCCATCTATACGGCAGTTCACTTGTTTCTTTCGGGCGCAGGTCAGCCCAGTGAAATAAAAAGATTGTTGTGGCTTGCTCCTGATCCTGTCGTGCACGTTCCTTCATCGTCGCGGCTGCGTGACAACTGGTGGAGGTGCTGGGTATGCAACAGGTCCCTGAGCCGACAGCTGCACGGAAGGACGAGGCCCCCAAAAGCAGCGACGCGACTCGCAGTAGCCGCCACCTACAAGGGTTGCCACCGGAACCCGGAACACTATCGGAGTGCACTCGACAGAAAAAAGAAGACTCGACGTCAACCATGAGCCTACCAGCTGCGCCCACCCCTGTCATCTTGCAACAGCCTCGAGTGCCTCCAACCTTCCACGGCTCGCCTGCAGAAGATGCAGAAGATTGGCTCGACCAATTCACTCGGGTGGCTTCACTAAACACATGGGATGACGAGATGAAGGTGAGTCACGTTTTCTTCGCACTCGACGGCCCCGCTAAAACGTGGTTTGAAAACCACGAGGCCTCTTTGACTACGTGGGAGGTGTTCAAGACTGATTTCTTGAGGACGTTTACCAACATGCTGCGCAAAGAAAGGGCTGAAATTCTGCTATAATCGAGGATCCAAAAGCCTAACAAAACTGTGCCTATATACGTCGAGGAAATGAAGCTCCTCATCCGCCGTGTGGATCTGAACATGGCAGAGGAAAAGCAGGTTGGGCTTCTAATGCGAGGAGTAAAAGAGTCCCTTTTCGCTGGCCTAGTTCGCAACCCGCCGAAAACCGTTGCCGAGTTCACGCAAGAGGCATCCACCATTGAGAAAACCTCAGATTCCCGAAACCGCTAGTACAACCGTACAGCGCACATAGCTTCCATGGACCCTCAAGCAACATTTGCAAGTACCAGCCACTTGCGTGAAATAATACGCGAAATCGTGCGTGAGGAGCTGCGGGTACTTATACCATCACCCTCGCAGCCTCCAGAAGCGTCACTCACGGATGTCATACGCGATGAAGTTCGCATTGCTTTGGGTGTTTCTCGGACGGCGACTCCATGTCAAGAAAACCAGGGAAAAAGTTACGCTGCCACAGTACGCTGCCCAAGGGGTACTACCAACATGCGCCGTGAGCATTACGAACCACCCCAGCGATTGCCGTCACCCGCCCACTCACCTGTTTTTTTGGAAGCGCCGCGAAAAGCAGACCTTTGGAGAACCCCCGACCAACAACGCCCACTATGCTTTCACTACGGTGAGCCAGGCCTCATCCTCAGATACTGCCCTTACAAATGCATGCGACTTCGTGGTTTTGCCCTCAACGCACCACGACCGCGACCCGGACAGCGACCACGTGAAGTTGAAGACTACTTGCGCTGTGCCGAGTCCATCCGATCACCATCACCGCCATACAGCCGCTACACATCGCCAGGCCGTGGCAATGCGGCGGCAGCGCGAGGAAGGTCCCCGAGCCTTCGTAGGGGAAACTGAGTAAAGCAGCCTTTGGAGGCGAAATTGCTTGCCGGCGAATGGACGAAGAACCTCCACTGATCATACCGCATGACGACGACGCACTGACGGAGACACCACAGCTGCTACGACGACACTTCGCACTAAGCTCGACGGCACGCCCCAACCGCACTTGCAGCACTCGCAGAAGCCGTGATTCGACACCAAGACTGACGTCCAACTCGAGATCTAGAGTCTCTGACCTAGACGTACTTATAGACGACCGTTGTGTAAAAGCACTTATCGACACAGGAGCCGACTTCTGTAATAAGCGGAGCCTTCACAGAGCAACTAAAGAAGGTAATGACTAGATGGGATGGTCCCGTGATCCGCACAGCCGGAGGCCATCTCGTGTTGCCAACGGGACGATGCACAGCACGAGTGACTGTCAGTGGACATACTTACCCAGCGTGCTTCATAGTCCTGCAGCAGTGTTCCTGCGATGTCATCTTGGGCATGGATTTTCTGACTGAACATCGAGCAATCATCGACCTTCAATCAAGACAGATCACACTTGCCACGGGCCAAACCATTCAGTCGAAGACCACCCTAGGGCACCACGCCATCCTGCGTGTTCTAGATGAAGAAGTAAGCATCCCACCAAGGTCAAGCCTCATAATACCAGTGGTTGCAGACAACACCGAGGATGTTGAAGGCGTGATCGAGGGAAACAGGCAGTTCCTCTTAGACCGACAGCTTGGCGTCGCCAGAGGCATCGCTTACTTCAAGAATGGACAAGTTGACGTGCTCGTAACCAACTTCGGCAGGGGACACCGACACCTCCACAAAGGCAGCACGATTGGCTTCTTAGATGAAGTAGGGGACATTCCAGGCACGTTCGTCATCTCCGACCCATCCCACCAAGACTCGTCAATGCAAAACCAGCCGCCTGCGTTCAACATCAACCCTGAGCTTCCCAGCGACAGGCAAAATCAAATCCGCGTTCTCCCAGAAAGCTACGGTCACTATTTCGCAACCTCGTCCAAGGTGCCGAAAACACCAACTGCCAAGCATCGGAT